TGAAAACAAAGTTTAATTTTGTATACCTTTTGAAAGTCTTAAATTTAATTTTATTTTTTTATTTTACTTTTTGTAATAAAAAATTTTTTTTTTGTTTTAATTTGAGTACGTATTTTATGTATTTACGGATTCGGTTTACCTGTAGAAAGATTTATCTACATATAACACTCAATAAGAGTTCAACAAAAATTACTGTAAAGAAAAGCGTGCAATTTTATTTTGCTTGCATGTTGAGTTGAAATGATTTCTCTTGAGGCTCGTCCACCGAGGTGTAATGTGTGAGGCTTGGAAACATTAAAGTTTAATAAAATCAAGCAAGGATACTTTAAAAGTATTTTCAACATGGAATAAAAATAAAAATAATTGTATTATAAAAATCAAATATAAATTAAAAAGCTTTAAGAGTTAGCAACTGAATAAGAGTTAGCAATAAAAATATTTACAGGAGTAAAAACTGACATTAATTCACGAACTCCTGATAAGTGTAAATTATAGTAAGATAGTAAGTAAGATAGTAAGATAATACTTAAAATATACCGAAATGATAACTGCATAATATTACAATAGACTGTAACCAAATAAATGCATTTTTTTAGTATATTTTTATCAGAAATATACAAAGAGTTTGTTTTTTTTTTGTATAAAATAAGTTAACATAGATATGACTTTATCTTTAAAAATCATTGTTTTTCATATTTGTATGCAGATCTGAGATCAGTTATTGCTTACTCTGATGAAGTGATAAACAATAATCCATTCAAGTCGTAGAGAGGGGTTATGAAGAAACCACACAGTTAATATAAAGTAAAAGTGCTCAAGTGTATTTACTCAACTAGCCTCAACATAATAATATAGAAAATTGTTCTTATTATTATTATCAACATTTAATTGTCTTATATCAAACGCAACTGAAAAAATTGTAATAAGTTATATAAATAAATTAAATATATTCCTATTAAGCTTTTGTAAAATTTCCTCCTAATGTACTTAAGTATTTAGACTAGTTTATTATTAAACTTTATTATTTTAACGGAATTTAAAATAACGTAATTATCTAGAATTAAAGTTAAAAGGACTTTCATGTTGTAGTGCTAACTTAAAATGACACAAAAGTTTATACTAAATTCATGCAAATTGAGCAAATAAGTTTAGCATTGTTTAAAACTGTATACTTTAACAGATGCTCATGCAGTTTTCATTCCAACGACATTTGAATCAGTCAGTGGTTAAGTTTTGAACCAGTGCATGTAGTACTATACATAAAGTCAAGTAGTTGCATCTTCACACACTGCTTATGTATCCACCAACGACTTCACAACAAACTCAAATGTTGATGTCACTGAAAATGTATCTCAAGTATCCAACAGAACCATTTCATACAGCGACAGCTCAAGTGGGACAGCTAACAAATGCCTTAGAGTATGTATTTCTCGCTATTACAATACATTTCCTATATATATTTTCATATATATGAATACTGTATAAAGACGTAATTATGCACTGTGGTATAAATATTTCAAGTAACAGATAATTAAATTTAAATTTTTGAATTTTAAACTAGAGTTATATTAATAAATTACAATGCCAACGCTCTTTGAGTTAAAATAATGTAAAGAATTTAAATTAAATTTCTATTCAAAATATAAAAATTTAATAAAAGTGCATCAGCTATTCATACCAAGTTTATATAACAGTTTCAATTGTTATAGCTAATCAAATGCATATTTACTGAATGAAATGAAACAGAAGTAAGCTCCAGGGTGATTGCGCTCCTAATTAGGCATGATGCATTTCATGGTAATTTAAATCCCTTGCTACACAGAATTAACATGTCCAAAATCTCACATTTGCAATACAATATTAATTCCGGGCACTATGCAGCTGAGAGTTAGCAAAATAATTAATGAGAAGTTAGCCTAAAGTTAACATTGAAATGATAAAGGCATAACATTATAACACTAAGAATGCTAATTTATGTAAAGTCCTATCTTCAAGCAAAAGCTTTATTATAGAATTTGTCTTTGAGGTTGCACAGAAGTTATATTTTGTACTAAAATTTGAAGAGAATAAACTATTTTACTACAGTTACTACATACACACGCACATACTCTGGTGAAATTTTAAAACTTGAAGTTATTTCCTTATATATGTACAAATATAGAAGAAATATTTTGGAAATAATGAAGAAATATTTTGGAAATATAGAAGAAATATTTTGGATATATAAGAAATATTTTAATAATGATTTTATAAAGAGGTTTTTCGAACAGTAGTGAACTATAACAACAAAAATTCATTTTATATTATTTTAATTAATTGAATTTTTGGCTGACCACCAACTGTTTCGAGTATATCCCAAATACCTATGATCAGAGGTTTTGGAATTATTTCTTGTATTTAATTATTTGTGAATAAATTTTTGAGATTGCAAGTATCAAAAATCGAACTAGGGTCCTGCCAAATTTGAAACTCAGAGTCAGCGCACCTTAACCAACTGACCTAAAGCCGTACTTGACTTTTATGTTCGCACATTTTTCTGAAGTTTTGTTACCTTCCGTGAAAGTTTTATTTACAAATTTTTGTAAATAAATAAATAATTTTTTTTTTTACAAAAAAATAAATGATAAATGAACTGGAGAATAACTGAACTTATTAATTATATTTTTATTTTTAATTGTTAAATTTCAATAATATTCTGTTTGTAGAGGCATTATATGTTGCATGATTTATATATTCTTTCTTATGTATAGAACTTAATCTAGGAACGTAATATTGACAAAGTCATGCTAATGTTATTCCACGAATATAAAATTGTAATTTAAATTCAAATTTTTCAGACGGAAGTGACTATTATATTGAATAGAAATTAGTATATTTCATTTAGAGATTTTTCGAACAATCGTGAACTACAACAACAAAAATTCATTTCATATTATTATAATTAATTGAATTTTTGCTGACCATACAGCTGTTTAATGATTTTATAATAATATTTAATAATATTTAATTTAATAAATAAATAATAAATATCGCAGTTTAAACCGTTTAACATTCACAAAAGTTATGGAAAATTGTAATTTCAAAATATATTTTCTAAAATATCTTTGTGAATAAAAATCATTTTTTGAATAACAAAAAATATTTAATGCATTTGCTCAAATAGTGTTTACCTTCTTTCAATTTAAAATTCTAAACTTCTTAAAAGAACACTTCGTATTTAAAAATATACACACATACCTATAATAATGAGCTAATTTTAGGGTAGAATGATATTATTTATTTATCGTTTCATTTCTTTGTGTTCATTTTATTGGAAAAACAATAATGTATTTAAGAAGAAACGTCAAAAATATGTCTTTATTTTGTATCTGATACAAATTTATGATACAATTTTATCTAATGACTATTAAATTTATAGCATTTAAAAGTTTCATTCTATTGTTTTTGGTCTGTGGCAGAAAGACACTTCCTTCACTTTTACTATACATTTGCAAGAAACAATTTACTATTGTGCCTTCATCACAAAGTCAAAAGGAGCTAACTTTTAGAAACCAAATTCTAATTAAATATATGAAGCAGAAACAAAATGGATTTATATTGTTTTGTTTTTAATAGAATTATTTACAAAATATGTATATGAATAGATGTGTTCAAATTTGTAAAAGAAAAATGAAGAAACCCTAATAAAAGAGTGCTTTAATGTGGTAAAAAGGATAAAAGGATAAAACAATATAAAAAGTGTTATATTGAAGAGTTTCGAGTAGAATACTCTGAATATCACTGATTTTCTCTATTTACAATTTTTGGAAAATTTTCAGTTAAGTGCGTTTCGAGGTAAAAAACTTTCGACAAGAGGTTGCACTTCACCGCCAATACAAAAATAAAATATTGTACAAAACTATACCAAAATGGTTGAATAAAAGAATAAAATACATTGAAAAGAAAATTTCAATGGAAATTAATATTAAATTTTTAAAGCGTTGTGCATTTAATGTACAGTACCAGAGTTAATTAGCATATAGCATACACCATAAGAACGATTCAAAATTTATCAAAATTTTATAATTTTAATTTAAAACACAATCTTAAAGGAACTTTAAAGGAACTACGAAATATTTTATAATCTATTTAATTATTATTTATTGCATATAGCTAGTTAATCCAATATATGAACTTATAAATTGATCCTTGAATATTGTCGTTAATTAAAACTGTTAGCTATGACATACAAGATAAGGTGAATTTATAATTACAAATACGTTTTTATCAAAAAAATGATTACTAAACAAGAATATAGCAGCATTAACAAAATCCCTGCAATCCTGTAGGTTCATAATGGAAATTACTTAAATATAAACAAATTCTACAAATATATGAATATATATAAAAGACCACGTACGCGTATGTTCGAAAAATGGCGTTCCATGTCTTAAGAGTAATAAACTCTATCAATGAACTATACGAAGTGGATTGAAAACAATAAAGTAAAAAAGACTTAAATGTAGACACCTCTGGTAATACCGTAACAACAATGCAAGTGCTTTGCAAAGCATTTGTTATTATTAATATAGTTAAGGAGTTATAAATGGTTAGAATTTAAAAGAAAATGGTTTTTTAGTTGATTTTCTTAATATACATATATTTAAATATAATATTTCGAATCTGCGGATTAGAAGACTATTTTCGAAGTTAAACGCACATTTGTAAAGACGTATTAAAACAGGCGTACTATACGTAAAGTACTTTTAAAATTTTAAACGCATTTCTCAAAACTGTGTTTTCAAGGTCGATGTGCACGAACCGACTACACTCATATTTTAACACAAGTTTTCTAAATATATTTTTTAGTATTGCATCTAAGACAAAACTCTCTTTTCAAAGTCGGTGTGCACGCTTTCTCGGCAACCGCTTGTGACGAAACAAATTTTTATATCAAAATTTCTTCCGCACATGTTACAAGAAGAAGAGAAAAACAAAGTCACTTACATGAAAACACTTACATGAATCAAACAGCGTTGGAATTACCTGTAAAATAAAAAAATTTATCAAAATATATTTTACCACAAAGTATACGGATATTACCTGCGATCCTCCAGCCTGATGAGCCGCGGGCAATGATACCTAGACTGAAAAGAAACCCTGAAGAGAGAAAAAAGAACATAAATACACTGTGAACATATTATAACAAAAAAAAGTAAATTTTATTTACTTATTATAAAATTTGAATAACAACACGATGAATAAACACATTTATTTAACAAATATATTTTTAATAAACAAATATACAACAACTAAACGTCCACTGATTACAAACAAAAAAAACGCATCACAAGCAACACTTCGTCATAGTTTTCCACTGGTTTTCTATTTGGATAATTACTAAAATAACTAGAGTTTATTAATTGTTACGGTATACAATGGAAAGCAATATTTAATTTATTTCTTTTACAAATATTACAACATAAACAAAACTACCACCAAAACAATTTAACATCAGTACCGGCTTAATTTAAAATCACTGAAATTCTTTTAATTAATTACACTTAAGTTTTATACACTCATATTTTTGTTTACATGCATGTTTTGTTTATAAATATATATTTATCACTTACACTTTGTTTTATATAAAAAAATTACTTTTATAATTTAAACCACAAGCGGCTGTCAAAACAAAACACAAAAGCGCAGCGGCTTCACGGCAAAGATCGTAAGCACAGCGGTTATACTGCACAACCCAGTGGGTAAACGAAAGGGAAAATTTAAAATACGCTAGAAGAAAGCTCTGGCGTATGGGCATTTAAGACAGCGAAATTGTTAAGAAGGGACGAGTTTATGAGTATTCGTCAAGGCGGTAATACGCCGAAAATATTAAATCCTGCGTTGGTCTTACGGCAAAGGAAATAAAAATATATATGTCTATGAACCATATATATCAATTGGAAACTATTAAATCCTGCGTTGATCTTACGGCAAAGGAAATAAAATATATATGTCTATGAACCATATATATCAATTGGAAACTATTAAATCCTGCGTTGGTTTTACGGCAAAGGATACAAAGTATATATGTCTATGAAACATATACAACCATAAGAAATATCTTAAATCCAGCGTTGGTTTTACAGCAAAGGCTATAAATTATATATGTCTATGAAACATATATAACCATAAGAAATATCTTAAATCCTGCGTTGGTTTTACGGCAAAGGACATAAAATTATTTGAAGGAATACAAGAAATCGCACGGACATATTATGAATATTCCGTAGCGTAACCTGAGAAGAACTACACACCATTCCACGACACCCGTCCACAGAAATCACGGCGTTCGCCCATCAAATCCACGGCTATCACTCACAGAATTCACAACGTACGGCACAACTAGGTATCGCCTGGACATACGGAAATCTTCAAAAGTAAAAAATATATAGCACTACATATACATTTTTTTTTATGAAAACCATACATATCGAATTTTTTTTTAATTATGTTATTATAATTTTATTCTTCTACGAGTTATATTTACTCAGATCTTTTATTTTTAAAGCACATAATTAAATAAATAGCTTTTGCACTATTGTCGAAATAACTTTGTACAAACATTTATTGAAATAAACTTAGAAAATTTAAAAATATCTTTCTTTTACGAAACTCGTCCCCGCGCATATAAATTCATTGTAATGACTCTGAGGATACCCCAGCAAAAACTAAATATTTTTGAACGTCACCAAAAAGTGTCGTTACACGCTGAACCGACCACTCTCATATTTTAACACAAGTTTTCTAAATATATTTTTTAGTATTGCATAGAAAATTTTTTCCCGCTTAACATTTTTTTTAATTAACAAAATTAAATTAAAATTTTAAATTTAATTTCGGCAAACAAACGGTTTTTCTTTTTGAGAAGCCGTCAAAAATTTTGTCAAAAATTTTGTCAAAAATTCCTACTTTGCTTATTCCTTCAATTAATTACTAGATTAGACATTACTTCAATAAAATCCGTCTGGTGTTTTCATTTCAAATTATCCAGTCCAGAGATATCGTGCACACCCCAAGACATCCGAAGACATAGGAGCACTCAGAGACAAGCTGTAGCAGCTTTCAAAATAATTTTTTTTAAATTATGTAATTAATGTAATTAAAAAAGTGAAATACACTAAAATGTGCACTTAATACATACACAAGTTTTTACATTAATAAAATTAAAAAGCTCTTTTCTGAAAAAATTCTTGAGAAATTGATTTCTTTTGGGCATTTTAAGTAGGTATAACCTCTAAAGCTTATATGTGCACTATGACTTCAGATCTTTGGATTTAAAATTTTAAATAATTTATTCTCTGTCCACAACCGCAAACAGATGTGAGCGCCGAATTTGCTCTCTTGTTTCTTAATCCTCATGGTAACGCCTACAAAAAATCATATCACCTAAACTTATTTTTTAGATTGTATTATGTTTAATACCCCTCTAGTGAAACCCATGATGTATTCTAGAATAATCTAAAATTTTACGTATCGTCTTAGAACGTTATTTGTTGCAATTTATAAAAAGTGGTTGTTCTAGATCAATATTTTGGTTAGGACTATCCATAAATATATTATTTGGACGAAAAACTTTGATATTATATCTTTACAGTTCCCAGATTTAACTTTAGCCTCTAGAAAATAGTACTAGAATGTTTTTCAAAAGTCTGAAATAATGTTAAAAACTACTTACATTCGTTTGGTCATGGTGATATTTAAATATCCTATAATTATTTTGAATACTGTGATATGCGGCTAAGTAATTACTTTCTAAACATAACATATATGTATGTATTCTAAAACTGATATTTCTTGTGGTCTGGTTATATTGATCTAAATGGTGACTATTGTGCTTTTATGTGTAAAAGACTTTATACTATTTTCTGTTTTCATTTTATCAATTTTTCAGAGTTAAAAACATTTTTTAATATTGTTTAAAAATTTTAATCATTTTTTCATAGTTTTTCATGTATGTTGAAATCAAATAAAAAATAATTTTTTTTCGTTAACTCTAAAAGGTAACCTGTATAATGTCAAATACCATTTTAAACGATGTTACAAATTATTCAAACAAAAAAAATATTTTTCCTAATGTCACAAATGAAAAAATTGGTATAGCAACTTTAACTTCAAAAAGTTATGAAAGGTAAGTTGAAAACAAAAAAATTTTTTATAACAGTGAATTTAGTTATATTTTGTAGTGCAAATAAGGGTTTCATATCAGAAACCAATTTGGCTTCAAATGATAAAGACTCTGTTCGAGTAGAAGTAAAATGTGCTCTCAACACTTTAGAGGGTTCTAATGCCGATTCAGGCAGGGATGTGGATTCATTGCATCCGAATGCATTGTTACCAATATCAATGCTGGCAAATCCAAAATATTTCACGTCTTATATAAACAAATATGTAAAACCAAAATCTGCGCAATCCAAAGTAAACCCTGTTATCGTTAAAACTGCCAAAACAATTTTGAACAAATCAAAAGCTAATAAGCAATCAGAAAGTAAACCTAAACGAAACGTTATGTCTAAACGGGAAAAGTACTGATATATTGCGTATAATACAGAAATCCCAGTAATTAAATTTGATTTTTATTAATAGTTGTCAGAAAGAGATAAACAATATGTCAAAAGTAATCAAAAATAAGGTATCTGAAAAAAATGCAGTAAAGTGTGATTTAAAAGATATAAAGCAAAATGTGATTAAGAAAACCGGAACTAAGGTAATTGTACTTAAACATAATATTATAATTAGTTTTAAATATATGTTTTCACTATTAAAGCAACGCGTAATGCTTACTTGTAAGACAGTACCCACGGACGTAACCCATTCCAAAGGCGAAGCTGTGGTTCTACAAAATTAATATTTTGCGTAACACAAGGGGATGGGTGAGTTTTGTATTATATAGTTTCTGAAATTATTTTCTAGTATAATTTATTTCAAAATATATATCAATATGTTATTGAATAACTAATTTTAGTTATGTAATAAAACTATCCTAATACTATTATATATACAAACTCAAAAAAGTTTTAAAAAAGATGCATACGCAGAAGAGAGAATGAAAAATTTAATTTTTTAGCTACAAATTAATTAATTAGTTTATCAAAATTTAAAATTTTGTGCAATTATTTGAGAACAGTACAAATTTCTACCTATTTATTTGTGTAGTCACCAAGAAAGCGATGAGTCATCAAAACAAAAAAATATCGGCAAAAGGTTTTCGACTTTATTTAAAAAAACATAATATTCACAATTCGGTAAAAGACTTGTATTCTACGCAAAGCATCACACAGCTTCCACTTTATTGATTGCCTCTGATACTTTTGTTTTTTTTTATTTCATCATCAGCAATGATTATAATAACGCGGGTAATTGTTTCAAGGAGCCTCCTTCTTCTACTTGTGTCCCTTGCAGTTTTCCATCAACTGTTTGTGACTTTGTGACATTCATATCCTCTTCTGTCTTCCCCGTCCTCCGCTTGAGTATTGTGCTTTTAATATTAATAGACTATTTCGTGTTCATCAGGTGATTGTATCAAAAACATACTTTCCTGAGTTTTCAGCTTTCAAACACTTTTAATACAGGCTTGTCATTTTTCTTTTATATTTGTGTATTGCCAAGCTTTATCATTACATAAAGGCTTACTAGTACTTAATATGTACTATTCCTTCTTTAAGTTGTGTATATCTTTATTAAACACTCCATAACAATATAATCGCCGTAAAGAACTGTTTGTAATGAATATTGTTCCCATTAATTTTATTCAAGTATTATCTAACTCCGCTATAAATAATGAATTTGTATTAGAGATTGTTTTTGGATTTTTGTCTAGGAATATCCTGCATTTGTTGTTGTGGTTCTTATAACGTTTATCAATTTATTTTTTTCCCATGTTACTTTTGCTCAATATTTTCGTTTAAAATTTAAAAATGGAGATTCCAGTACTGTCCATAAAATTGTAACAAATCATGAAGCTAAGTTGTACAAGTTCAACTTAGAAGCAAAGCAATAATAAATGCCTTGAAGCCCAGAAGATGCTAGTCCAGTCAAAATAACCTCGCAATAGAGGAATAAAAGTAATCATTTCAATTTACTTCACCAGAGAAAAAGTAATAGCTGTTATTTCCTTTGCGGACTGGTCAGACGTTACCTACTAAATATTATATTGAAACCTGTTTTATAAAATTTTTGGAAAATTTTTTCAGAAAAAACGCAAAATAGAAACTAAATCGTTTTTTTTCGCATCACGGTAACGTGTCAGCTAACGCTGATGAAAAATCGAAGAACTTCTTAACACTTTCAGAGATTAAAAAAGTTTATTTAGCACTATATGCTCCGTCCAAGCGTCGTGTGAAATCTGGTTGTTTGCAAAGTTTCTCGATGTTGCAAACCTAAAAATCCTATTCCGACAATCGTAGCAGAACATGAATTTACCGTCTTCAAAAACGTATAGAAATTACTTAAAATAAGATATGATGAAGTTTAAAGTTATTAAATTAATATGTTTCTCTATTTTTATGTAGCCAACCCAGTGCATTTCTGCTAGTCTACTCGTATATAACTTATTTTCAATTTTAATGTTTCATTTCTCAAGAAGCTCTTAAAAATTAGCTTAATTCACTCTTTTCTTCAGATGAGCTATATACATTAATAATTGCATTGTTGTACCATTTGCCGTTTAATTTTATCGTACACAGTCGTTCCTTCATGTGTTTGTAGACAAGGTACTTTTTTAACGTATGCACTATAAATCCTGTCCCGAAGTGATGGTACTTTTGGTTTGAGATTACGTATGGTGTAATGAAAAAGAAAACTTTCGTATCAACTCAATGGAACGATTTTGTAAATTATGCAGGCGATATCTTCTGGTTACTGCTTAGTTACTATTTATTTACATTTTTTCAGAAGTGAATTGATGTTAACAGTTTCGGTTTTATTTATTTATGTAGTTATTTTCTACATCATATATGTTTGATATCTTATTATAAATATTGAAATATATGTATTTAAATTGAAACTAATAAAAATATTTTTAATAGGAAATTTAAAAAAAATAACTAATCAAAAAAAAATACTAACACAAGTCAAGAGAAATCAAAATTCAAGAAAAAATTTGTAGCTTCAAGGAATCATCAATCTCTCATCAATAAACCGGTAAACGCCAGTTCATGGATTATATGATAGAATTATATGATAGACAATAAATTTAAATAGAATTCTGTTAAGATTAATTAGGATGGGTGTTCTAAATAGGTTAAGTTTTTAAGTTGATTTAAAAAAAGTTAATATTTATGTGCTGTATAATATTATTTCATAAATATTAGATTACTTGTAAATAAATCATTTTTTTTTATATTTATTTGCTCTAAATTTTAATAAAACACATCTTAAGTTAATTCCCCAAAAAATAAAGTAAGTCATATACACAGGACATGGTAATTATTAGAATATTGTGACTACAAAATTTTTGATAAAATTTCTTTGATTTATCATAAATACATAGAAGTACCATAGAGAAGGCGCGGAACCTTCAAAACATTTTTATGGAAGGCTCTAGGCCATACAACTGTTATATTATTTCCGGTTTGGATAACTTTCAAATAAGTACTTCCTTTAGTTTTTAAATATCACCTTGCGTTATTTACAAAACAAAAATTAAAATATTTAGGAATAAACTTTTGAACAGCAACTACTTTTACCCTAAAAAAACTGCTGTTGAAAACGTTTTAGGGTGTAACATTATGTACATATTTTCTTTAAAAAACTATATAAAAAGCAAGTACAAATTTCAGAAATATGTATTTATATAATTAGTTTTATAAGAAGCGTCCATGTCGAATATCCTTCATTAATCATCTCTACGTTTCACACCAGCCAGATATATCAAACTGCAACAGTATGTCAAGCAGTTGATCTTTCTACTTTAAAGGATTTCTACCTCTACGAATCTTCAGTCGCTTTACTATGTCAATGTAATGGTACAGTTCATTATTCAAAATTTGTTATAGCCTTTCATGCTATACGTTTAGCTGGAAAGTCATCATGTAAAATAACTTTAAATGAATCAAAGAACAATGCCTTAAAAAGAGTACCTGATTTTTTCTTTTCGTTACTTTTCATTATATTTAATTTTTGTATAATATATTGCACATAAAATTGTTTACAGCAAATATTTGAAAATTTCAATACCATATTACTGGTTCACAGGTGATGGAAAACATTTTACTTTTATTTAAAAAACAACTATAAATATCTATATATCTAACTAAATCGTTTTCTATAACATTTGTGCACTATTCGCATCAATCACTATCTATTTTTTATAATTAAACCTGAATTTATTGATCTACCTCATAAAGTTTAGGTCTTCATTGAATATAAAAACTTATTTTAATATTAGAATTAATAGAAAAAATTTTAAATAAAAAATGTAAATGATTGAGGTGGAAGTGAAGTTACGTGATGTATTTTAAACTAGACTTATACATTGAGAATACATTAAGTATAGTATTAAGTATATATATTTACATTATTATTTTATGTTAATTTGTATTAATTATTTTATTTCATATCGGGGGAATAAAAATACAATTTAGCCTATCTTTATGTATCTACAACAATAACAGCGTAATTGGAAGAAATTATATTTGAAAGAACTCTAGTGCAAATATTTATTAATAAAAAATTTAGTCAGTTAATTTTATTTTTCTGCTGTTTATGTATATCAGGACTTCAAGTATTTTATTTTCATACTTACACCATAAAATACATATCATAACTTAAACTTTAAACAACATTTTTTTTTAAATTTTTTTCCTAAACTTATTCACTTCGCAAAAAGCCCCATCAAGTTACAAATTCCTCGCATTTTGTCAGCAATTTTTGCCTCAGTGAGAATTTTTGTTTCTTCATTGTGCAGTTTAACGCCCGAGCCACAGTCGCTTACCCTGCCATGCCCAACTGCCTTTTAGAAAAGCAATTACAATTTTTGAATTGTTTGCCCTTCTGACAAGTAAGTGCTGCAGTGTGGAATGTGCAATGTGCAGTGCACTTCTGCGGCAATTATACGACCCAAATCCCCACATTCGTACCTCAAATTGTCCCGCATGACGACATACTCATATTCACCACCTCCAAGCATTTAGACGAACGTCAACTACATAATTTTTTCCTGTTTCATGAGAGGTTTTGTTTTAACCTTTCAAACTGTTTCTGTTATTTAAGCCGACTACTCGCATGTACAGTATGTACAGGACACTTTATTTTTTTGTTTGAGAATTGATTATTTTATCACTTTCATGATTTTCATATATATACTTTTTAACAAACCACAAGCCTCTGATTTGCAAATTGGTTAGTTATTATTCAAAAATTATTAGTACGAACACTGATTTTCTGTATAATTGCAAGATTGAATATAATTAGATGCACTAACAGAGCAAATTCATTTCAAATGCATGTTAAGCAAACTCATCATTGCTTCTGTCAACAGGATTCGTATTGGAACTCAATTTGTTTTCATGTTAATTACTCTCGCCATAATTGAAATTTACAATTGTTCTGTTCTAATTTCAGACATCAATTGAGCAATGTTCGTTGAATTTGGTACATCAGTTTTCAATTGAATTTCTATATATACAAGCAAATTTGCAATTGCCATGCAAATTCAATAAATACAGCTTCGCTCTCCTTTCTATTTAATCGTTAGAATCCAATTCGAAATATTTCAAAATTTTGCATTTTGCAAGAATAAAAATACTTCAAGCGAAAAATGTTGAATTTTTTAAAAAATCAACTAATAAAACAAAAAAAAAAGTTAGTTTTGATTTTCCGAAAACCTAATACCATTCACATAGTAATTAGAATAACTATACAATTATTCTCCTCGGGAAGGTATGCAGATCTAAGGTCAATTATTGCTTAGTCTGATGAAGTGAAAAACAAAAAAAAAATTAGTTTTGATTTTCCAAAAACCTAATTAGAATAACTATACAATTATTCTCCTCGGGAAGGTATGCAGATCTGAGGTCAATTATTGCTTAGTCTGATGAAGTGATAAACAATAATCCAGTCAAGGAGTACAGAGGGGTTATAAAGAAACGTCACAGTTAATAGAGCGTAAAAGTGTTCAAGTGTACTGACTCAACTAGCGTCAACATAATAATATATAATCAATGACGGAACTACTAATAAAAATTTCTAGAAGTACATTTAATATTAAAAGAGATCGCTAAATACCACTTATTTTCGTTTTTTAAAGATAACATCGAAAAGTTCCACAATAAAGAACTTTTATCCTAACCAAAAAAAGAGCAGAAAGTAATCAAATTCACAGTATTGTTTTTGAAAAAAATGTTTCTTATTCCAGTAAGATAATCTTATGACGATAATAAAAATTTAAATTCACATACAGCAATACAAAATAGGAAACTCAGACAAAGTTATTTCTTACCGGAAGTAAATTTTTTTTTGTATTTAAATTTTTGTATTGCCAATTGTTGAAGAGATCAATAAAAAAGAAAAGAAAAATATTAAATGAACCAATTCTGTGCATATATTGTTGACCTGAATTTTTGCTGTTAAGGGCTTAAGTTGAGTGTTTTGAGTGTGGTTTAGTGTTTAGATCGCTTTATATATCGATGTTCCTAATATACTAGAGAAAACTTTTGTGATGACTATGTTTTGTACTTTGTTAGTCCCAGAGTACTAATAAGGTGTAACGTATAATGTGAACCTATGGACTATGGTTTCACACACTAGCGGTTTATAAGTGAAAAAAAGCATAAAAACTAATCTCTCTGTGAAAACAAAAGATACAACATTGATCTGTAGCAATTTATGACTACTGATAATGTCATTGAATTTGTAAAACAATCGAAAAGAGTCAGAAAGTAATATGAGGACTATGAAGGACTATGATGTAATGAATTGATGGAGTGAATAATTATTAACGGAGATTAGATGGCACCAACCAAAAAATTAACAATAATGGAACTATGGTAAGTTCAACACACTTAGTTCCGTCAAGCACTTTTAAGCTGAGGATAATGGTAGGTGACGTTTTTAATTTATATCTAAATAACCTAAGTATATTTTTCTTAACTGTGTATAACAAGACTTAAATTTGTATAGCAAATTCTCATATTATTTTGCTATAATCCATAAACGAATATTTAATTGGTTTTTTTATTTAATTAAAATCATGAAATGTTTATTGTGAACAAATAAGTAAAAGAAAAACTCTGTCCTATGTTAATAAAATATCTAAACTACTACAAATTATTAATGTATTTATTATGTTTTGAAGAATTTTCATGTCAAAAGTCAATCCGAACAGCATTGTTAATTCACAAAAGTTTACACATCAATGCAATTCACATGCACGTCACATCCATCACTTATTTAGAAGGCATCTAGGCTACACTCCATCCCAGTTTGCTTTAAATAATGGGTGAACTGGAACAGGGAATATTTTGAGTGAATAAATGTCATATGCTGGCGTTTGACCATTGGAGTAGCTGTCGTAACTTGTCAAAAAATGTATGCACAACACGAAATAGGCGAGCCTGAACTTGGAATTAGAAAATTCGTTTTTGTTGTTTTAGTTATTTTTCCTATTGTGATGAGTAATCCAATATGCAATACACAATACATATGTTTAACATGCAGTTGTATGCATTGCACAGAGGGAATGGTACTTTATTGGTACTGCAATATTGCAATACTCGTATTGCCATATTGCAGTCTTAAATTTCTGATGTTTGCTTAACAATGAAAATGTTTATCGATTTTCCATTTCAACGATTTAACAAAAATTCGTGATGAATTCTTAAGTTAAGAAAATAAAAACCGAAAAACTAAACATATTTTTGAAAACTGACATAGAATAAAGTTTTTAAAAAAATTGCAAATGATTTTAACAATATTTTGGGAGCAATTTTGTAAACTAAATATTTGTTGATGTTGTTAGAACTTTATTCATTATATATTATATCTCATGAGTTATTTAAAAAAAAAAACCTAACAGAACTTCCGCGTATTCTATATGTTTATACGTTGTTTA